CTCTGGGCCCAGCTCTGCCCGACCTGGGCATTGACGTGACTGTGCGCACAGCCCAACCCCCGACCACCTCGCAAGCCTGCATCAAGGTGGGCGCTGCCCTTCGCCGAGCCGAAAAGGAGAAGCGCGACTACTACACCGGTTTCAACCATGGAAAAACTCTGATCGTCCCTGCGGCGATGACGACAACCGGTGGGTTCGCCTCCTCCTTTGTGGATCTGCTTGGTCAGCTCGCCCGCTGCGCCGAGGCCCGTGGTGTGTACCAGCCGGGGCTGGACGAGGCCTTTGTTCCTCGCTGGAAGGGTCGCTTTGCGGCGCTGGTCCATCAGATGAACGCTGACCACATCCAGCGCCACTTTGGCGGTGTCTGCCTGCGCTCGTCGTAGGTAGGCACCGCCTCGGGGGTCCCTCTGCGGGGATCCCTGTGTGCACCTGTCGCTCCCTTGGTGGTTCCTCGTTGTGTCTTTTGATGGCTTGACTTGTATTTTTGTTTAATTTTGCTTTAATTTTTGCTGTATTTTGTGGTAATTTTGCTAACTTTTTGTAAGGTCCTTTGTATGATGTCTTTGTCTTCTGTGGCCGGTTGTTTTCCTCAATCCGACGTTGTGTCTCGTTGGATGTGAGCGTGCCGTGGTGTTCATTGTGTCTGTGCTGTGATGGCTTATACTTGTGATGTGTGACTGCCCTTTTGGGTGTCTTGTGTTTGAAATGGCCGTATCTCTGGTTATACTTGGTCGTTTTGTACGATTTTTGTTTCTATGTGTGTGATTCTTTGAGCTTGTACCTCTTGGCATGATAGAAGCCAATGAATGTGCCTTGTTCTCTTGTGTTGTTTTGCGTGCCGTTGTGATGTTGATGTCGGGGTTGCACAGCTTTGCTTTCAGCTCTGGGGTTCAAACACCTAATTTAATACTTTTGGAGGATGCATCAAGGGCTGCCGACTTTGAGGACCACGTGCAGCGAGCTGGCTTCCAGATGGCCACGGTCAAGGACGCGGCGACCCAGCGACCAGCTGAGATCATTGCCCTCCGCTCCAAGGCGGCACTTGACGACCTGATGGCCAAGTGCGCGCTGGACCTGCAGCAGGCATATCTGGCCTCACGCGAGTGGGGCGTCAGCACTGTCTTGACCATGCGCGGGCGAGACAAGTTGCGTCGCTTGAGCGACACGACCTTTGCCATTGCGGTCGTGTCCATGATGGGTTTTGGCCTCCATGAACTCATCAACATCAAGCCGACGGACAAGTGCCCGCTCTGCAGCAGCAAGACACCCCAGCCGCGACTGACCCGCGAGCACCTGCTGACCTGCCGTCCCATCAAGCGACACAACGCCCTTCGCGACGAGATGGGCCGCCTGCTCAGGTACGCCACCCTCTCCCATGTCTGGGTGGAAAAGTCTGGCTACAACGCCAACGGTCAGAGCTGCCGCATCGACCTGCACTGCCGCAACCCCTTTCCCGGCGGTGCTCTGGGCCCAGCTCTGCCCGACCTGGGCATTGACGTGACTGTGCGCACAGCCCAACCCCCGACCACCTCGCAAGCCTGCATCAAGGTGGGCGCTGCCCTTCGCCGAGCCGAAAAGGAGAAGCGCGAGTACTACACCGGTTTCAACCATGGAAAAACTCTGATCGTCCCTGCGGCGATGACGACAACCGGTGGGTTCGCCTCCTCCTTTGTGGATCTGCTTGGTCAGCTCGCCCGCTGCGCC